GTGGGCTGCCTGCCCAGGCCTTTGGCGTTTGCATGTATCTCTTCGAATTCTGTGGTTCTTGGCGCTTCGTCGAGCAAACTGGCTCGGCCAACATTCAGTGGCGACCCGAACGCACATGCACCGAGTTCTGGGAGCGACATTCATCGGCAGTCGGGAGCCCTTGAGGGTATTCCAACGTTGCCAGCGCGAGGACCCCAAACAGCTGAGTAGTCTAGCACGGCATGTGGAGCCCAACGTGGTGTGGAATCGCATGCGTGTGTGGAGCCGTATGAGGCGTTCCAGACAGCGCTTCGCCGTCGAGAAGCGAAGGAGTTGACACCTCTTCCTCGGCGTAAGGGCGGCGGAAGCCATTGGAAGTACAACGAAAGCGGCCTCGCTGGCTGAAGCCAGCGAAAACCAGCGGAAGCAAACAATTGCGTCTTAAGAGATTGCAGCATTTTGGGGGTTCAGGGTTTTGGAATCCGCCGCATTTTTTGTGGGGGAGCATGGTATCCAGTACATGTGGTCCATGTTCGGTCAAGGGCTCCGCGCACGCCACAAACCTTGGAGGCCCGCTTGGAACAAGGCCACCAGGGAAGCTGAGCTGCCCCACATCCCACTCGGGAGCTCGTGGACCGCCTGTCGCCCCGCCAGTCCTGGCCCACCACGCTCCGGCGCAACACGCTGTCCACTTCCCAGCTTGCAGGCTCCAACGTCCCGAGCTTCCCGAGCCTCCCGCCCCGCGGGCGGAGCGAGTCGCCATCCGCTTGCAAGGCCCGGCGTGTCGCCGGGGCCGCCGCGGTGACGTGCTATCCAAAAATGGTTGGCCGTAGTTCCCGGCACGCTCGGTGCACGCTGGGTCGCGGGCGCAGCACACGCCGCAGACCCTGGAGGCCCGCCTGCACAGGGCCACCAGGAAGACTGAGCAGCCACGCGGACGAAATCCGCGAGACCCTTACACGGTCACAGTAGACAGGCGGCACCCCCTTGAAAGGAGGTCTACGGCTGCAGCACATCGGTCTTCCATCAAATATTCACACAAAGACATATACATTTACATATACAAGTATTATATACGGCATCCTGGTCCAAGATTAGCGCAGCCACCCCAGCTTTGACCACACTCTCCAATACAAGCGGTACTGTCGCCTCAGAGCCAGCCACAGCCCTCCTTGCAGATGATGCTGCCGGTCGGGCATAAGCCCCATTCACGGATGGGATTGGCGCTCTCGCCCGAGCGTTGGCCACACCCCTATCTGGGAGTCATGTTGCCGTCTGCGCGCTAGCCAAATCTTTCATGGAACGCGGCACTCATTTCGCAGCGCCAGCCACGCCCGTCATTGACTAATGTGATGCCGCTCCACTCGCACTGTTCCCACAGCCCTCATGGGAGAATGGTGCTCCGCCCAAGCGCCAGCCACGTCCATTTCCAAGATTTGTGCTACCGCGACAGCGCAGGCCGCATCCGTGTGTGAGACTGGTGCTCTCGGTTGAGCCTCGGCTACATCCGTCTTTTGCGAGCGCCACCTCCGGCTCGAGACAACTGGCGACCGCGGCTTCCGTCCCTTCGTGCTGGGCGAGTGCCGAACCTGGCGTTCGGTTTGGACGGAACGCGTCGGGTTGTCTGTTGCCAATCGGGGCTGCTCCAGGTTAACCCCCCAAGGTTCGGGAATGGGTCGTAGCAACACTGCGGCTACATCAACATGATTACCGCGGAGCCAATCAGACATGCAGGCTCAAGGACCAATCTTAGAAGGCGAAGCGCAGCGAGCCTTAACATCTTGTGTATGCATGTATACAGTTATATGTCATGTACGTACTGATATGTATATACAAACAGGTGGTTGCAAGTGTTTTACTAATGCAACACCCAAGAGCACGGACCGTGGCAGTTTGTCCTCGGGTGTGTTTGTCCTCCCATGTGAAAACACAACGTGTTCTGGTCGTGGTTTGCTTGCTTTCCTGGTAAGCTTCCACGGCCCCACGGCGCCCCCTATCTGGATTCCTCACATGTAGGAAGTCAAAGCTCCACAATCAAGTTCGAGACGTAAGTCCATACGAGTAGAATCAGTGTGACAACCTCACACATGAATTCCATGCGTGCATCCGCACAATGAAAATCAGTGTGTAACCCATTCACATTTTGATATTGGTTGTAAGGGATGTTGTAGAGCAGTGCCGTGGGGCCGCGGAAACTGACCAGGAACAACAAAACACAAATAACAACCAACACACATATGAACAAGCTTGTGTGTGTTCTTAGATGGAAAGGTAGGACAGCTGAAAAATACTTGCGCCTGTCATTTCTTCGCGGCGCAACGACTGGACGCGCTGTCAGTCACAGGTTTCCGCAGTTTTCTTGCCTCCATGTGGAAATTTAAGTTGGTTACTGTTTTTCCTGTTGCTCCTGTTTTCTTGATAAGCTTCCACGACCCCAAGGCGCAGCCACTAGGACTCCCTACAATTGGAAACGATGCGAAAGCCCCACACTTAGAATTAATTTGCAAATCTACACAAGCAATGTGCAAACCCCTTAAACCAAGTTCAACTCGTGAATCTCCACACGTACTATCAAGGTGTAACCAATTTATTATTTGATTGTAGTTCTAGCGGGGTTCCAGGGGCAGCGCTGTGGGGGCTGTGTATACCGGGCCGCCGTTCAAACAGAAACAAGCCATCGAAGACACAGATGTGCGCAACTACATGATCGAGGTCGACACTGTTGGTCTGCAGCTAGCGCCGTTTGCTTGTTGTTGTTGCGTTTGTGCATCTGTGCTTACAGTCCACCTTTTTCGCACTCTTGGGGCCTTGCCACCCCCCAACCGTCTTCACATTCTTGGGACCCAGGAAGAGAAAGAGGAGCAGGAGGAGGGAGGAATACGACACGGGAGCAGACTGATCAAGAATGGGGCGATGAGAGTAACATTGCAGAAGGGCTAGGGTAACGATGAGAAGGCCATACATCAGTTCATCAAGAATTGCACGATGAACACAATGAAGAATATGCGAATGAGTACACGAGGATACGAATGAGTACAAGTATGGTGAGTAAGCTGATGATATACAGCACTCGAGTCAAAGGGACAGTCATCAACAGAGCCCCGTTGCAATCATGCAAGCGGCGTGTCGGACGGAGTGGGGGCTCTCCATTTTTCGGCGGCGAGCGAGGGGTGGAAGTGAAAAGGAGAAGGCCTTCTCCGAAGGCTCGGAACTCCCCCTGCCTTCTGAGAAGTTTTCTAGGCCTTCCCGATGGCGCAGAAGACCTCTGAGAAGGCACGGGGGCTTCTGAGAAGTCCCGCCGCCTACTGAGAAGGCCTCCTCCTTCCCACTTCCCCCTCTCGCTCGCCGCCGAATTCTGGCTGCTGTCTTGCCGCTGCGAGCTTGCGCTTTACGACTGACGCGGACAAGGCATCAGCGTCATCACCATCATCGTGACCATCGTCATCGTAGTCACCAGCATCATCAGCGCCAGCATCATCATCATCATCAGGCCCAGGAAGGTAACATCATATGTCCGCGGATCCTTAATCTGATGTTCGACCCCTTGGTGGCCCAGTCGGCTACTTCGATGTGCAGCAACCCCGAGCGCGGGAGGCCCACCGCGCCAACCCTGCACGCCTAGACGGGCTCCAAGATCCTCCGGGCCTCTTGCAGGGGCGCCCTCGAGGGCGCGAAGCTATTCGCGCTCCGCGGTCCTCGCTCCTCCTCCCCCTCCTCCTCGTCCTCCTCTTCTCCCCTGGGAGGCGGCGCGAGAGCGCGAAGCGACTCGCACCTCGCGCTCCGCGCAGCGCGCGAGGCGCGAAGCTGGGAGCCCCGGAAGGTCCTCCAGGCCTTGTCGGCAGTGCGCGGACGGCTGCGTCTCGAGCCACCCCCCGCGGGGCGCGCAGGGCCGCCTCTTTCCTGCGGCCGCTCGTCAGCGATCTCGTTGGCCCAGGCGTCGGAGGTGGCCTCGAGTGACCAGGATGTCTTTGCTCCGAGGGCCTCTACGATGATGCGTATACCATTGTGATTGTTAGTGCGATTGTTATTGCACTCTCTCGCTGGCAAGAGTTCGTAGCATGATCCATACCGTTCCCAGCACACTCATCATAAGGAGGCGAACGATATGACTAAGCAGGGGCCGAACCATAACAAGAAGAGGAAGCAGTACCCTGACACGTCGATTAAGGAATGGGCCGTTTTCGGTTCGCGAGGGGGCGTCGCGGCCGTCGTTTTTGCGGGTCCAGGTCCGTCGGTTGCGGTCCCCGGCCGTCTTCATTAAGGGGAGGTTTTCTAAAGCGAGGTTTGTCCACCGCCGAAGACGGTTGTCTGGTCCATGGCGTTCTCCTTGGCCTGCGTGGGGTGCGACGGGAACGTCGTGTCGTGCGGGTTGACCCGCGGGTCCAGGTCCATCGATTTTGTCATCTATCCGTAAGGGTGTTGCTTCTTATATGTTTATTGTCTTTCAAGGTTTTTGCCGAGGTGTTGTGCTCTGCCTTCTCTGCGGTTCTGGGAGCCCCTCAACCATATTCGGCTCCAATGCGCATGGGGCCTGGCACACAAAGGTGTCCACATTGAGGGGTCCTCACACGCACATATATTCCCGCCCCTCTTCCCTCCTCCTTATCCGTTGGATTCGCCACCGCCTGGCGCGCACACCTTGGGCGACCGACCAGGCCAGCGTGCGCCAGGCCATCGCCATTTTGACCGTGGCGCATTCAAACAAAAGCACACGTATATCAGGTGTTCCAGTAATGTCTCGAATGCGAGGGTCGAAGGCCTCGCATGCGAGGCTCTAAGGAGTTGGCACCTTTCCTCGGCGGGAGGGCGGCTGAAACCCGCGGAAGAAACACGAGGGCGGTCTCGTCAGCGGAAGTTGTCGGAAGATCGGCGGAAGCCGACTGAAGTAAACAATGGTTTCTTAAGAGATGCAGTAGGGGTCTTGAAGAAGGAACCCTTTTCGTTGGGGAGGGGCTCCGTGCTCCTTGATTATTTTACAGCTTGCCTTGGATTTTCCTTAGGCTTTCGATGCGAAATCGAAGTTCAACTTATGGAAAGTAGGGGCCTCGTTCCTTATTTAAGGTTCCTTAGGTCAAGGCCCCGACTGTATTGCCGAATTTTGGGGGTCAAGGGTTTTCGGAACCCGCCCTCTGTTTCCGTTCGCGCGGCTACGCCAAAGTCGCCTGCTGGGGGCGTGCGCGCTGGCACCGTGCGGGGATATCGTGTTTCCCTGTGTGTGTATTGGAGGGTTTCTCCGAAGGGCTTAGGCGACCCGTCCTCCCCCTCTCTCCTCCTCCCCCTCCTCCTCCTCCTCCTCCTCCTCCTCCTCCTCCTCCTCCTCCTCCTCCTCCTCCTCCTCCTCCTCCCCCTCCTCGCCCTCCCCTCCTCGGGTCGCCTACGGCCCCGGGGGAAACCGTCCAGTGTGTATATGGATAGTGCATGTAACCGGGTTCCCGGGCTCCTCCAGGAGGGGCCTCCTTTCGGAACGAGAGAGGGGCGTCGTTGGCAGTGGAACTGTCAAGCCTTTTTCAACGAGCGCCCCGAATGGAAGCCAAAGCAGCAGCCCGTTCTTGCGCCAGCGGGCGGCCGTTGATGTATTCGGCACGCAGCCGCGTACATTGTTACGATAGTTGTGATTCGCCTTGAGGGTGCACGTTCGTAAAAAGGGGAGCGGCTAAACGTCGGGGCGGGCGGACGAGCCCAAATGGGACGGAGGCAGGACAAGGCTGGCCAGAGCATCAGATGCGATCGCGCTGATGGCGCCACTGAGCAGGGTCCCCCTCCCTTCCATCTTCTTTCTCCAACCCCTCGTCCCCCCCACAGCAGCGTGAGAGGCCGAACGCTCTCACACGATCCCTGAGCGCATGGCTGCAGTGGGGCTCCCTGGAGAGGTTATTGCGAAGGCCTTACGGCCGGTGCCGCCGACCATGAATGGCGACGACGACGACGACGACGACGAGCGCTCTTGGGGGCCTCTTGGGGGTAGTTTGTGGGCCTCTTGGGAAGCTCTTAGGGGCCGCTTGGAAGCCTCGTGGAGGCCTCTTGGGGCTTCCTGGGGGTCTCTTGGAGGGGGCCTGGGACGTCTTGGAGGCTTCTTGGACGGTCTTGGGGCTATCTTGGGCGTTTTCGGCCGATCTTTGGGCGACTCGGGGCCCTCTTGGGCCGTCTCGGGGGCCGGGCATTCGGACCTCATTTGGAGTGTTTTCGAGGTTTGAATCTGGGCATTGGGACCTCATTTGGAGTGTTTTCGATGTTTCTAGGCCGCCCGAGGAGAAACTAATCTGCCCCCCCACCCCCCCCGGGACCCTCCCTGGACCCCCCCCCCCTGGGACCCTCCCAGGACCCCCCCCCGGGGAAGGAATCGAAGGGAAGGGGCTTCCCTTCGACTCGATTACGACACTGCTCGATTTTTCTCTCGCTCACGAGCTTGAGAAGGAAGCTGCAGGGAAAGGGGACGACGGAGGCGACGACCGACGGAGACGACGACTGGGGCTCCCTGGAGAGGTTATTCCCCGCAGGCTTAGTGGGATTCTGGTGTTCTTCCCGCTCGTGTCGCACCTGCGTCTCACACCTCCTCTTTCCCATCCTCCTCTTCCTCCTTCCCCTCCCCCGCACGGAACATACGCGACGCATTATTCTGCATCCGAATGATACACATGACCGCCCTCATAACGCATCACACGCACCAGGCGCATGCAACACACGCCCGGCCCCCACATGAGACACGCGTCGACGCACACAGCCGCGAACACACGCGCACACACACACACCAAAACACACCATACAAACCTGGTGCACACCTGGCGTGTTCACTCCACCATACACCCAAGACCCAAGACGCATGCACCACAAGCTGAGCACCCACATGATACACACGTCCACACACAGCCTGACCCACATGTTCTCGCAAAGCGTGCCAAACATGACACTCTCTCGACACCACAAGAGGTATACAGGGGGTGGTCCCTCAGCGCGGCCTTTATCCGTGACACGGTCGCATGGCGTGGCAGGAGTGGCACTTTCTCGACACCACAGGGGGAGATGGTCCCTCAGCGCGGATTCTATCCGGTGACACGCTCGCAGGGCCTGGCAGGAGTGGCACTTTGTCGACTCCAAAGGGGTTGTGAGAGTGTGTTCCCTCAGCGCGGCCTCTATCCGTGACACGCTCGCGGGGTGTGGCAGGCGCGGCATTCTCGACACCAGAAAAGGGGTGCGCAGGGTGTGGTCCCTCAGTGCGGCCTCTATCGGTGAGACGCTCGCAAGGCGTTGCCGGAGGGGCACTGTCTCGGCTCCACAGATGGTTCGAGAAGTGGTCCCTCAGCGCGGTTTCTATCCGTGACACGCTCGCAGGGCGTGGCAGGAGTGGCACTTTCTCAGCTCCACGGGGGATGTGCAGGGGGCGGTCCCCCCGGCGCAGCCTCTATCCGTGACACGTTCGCGGGATGCGGCATGCGCGGCATTTTCTCGACACCAGTAAAGGGGTGCGCAGTGTGTGGTCCCTCAGCGCCGCTTCTATTCGTGACACGCTCGCAGGGCCTGGCAGGAGCGGCACTTTGTCGACTCCACAGGGGTTGTGAGAGTGTGTTCCCTCAGCGCGGCCTCTATCCGTGACACGCTCGCAGGGCGCGGCAGGAGTGGCATTGTCTCGCTCCAAATGGGGGTGCGCAGGGGATGCTCTCCCAGCGCGGCCTCTATCCGGGACACGGTCGCAGGGCGTAGCAGGCGCGGCATTTTCTCGACACCAGGCGGGTCGCGCAGGGGGGGGGGCCCTCAGCGCGGCTAGTATCCGTGACACGCTCGCAGGGCGCGGCGGGAGTGACACTTTCTCGAAGCAGAAGATGGTCCATCAGCGTGGCGTCTAGCCGTGACACGCTCGCAGGGCTTGGCAGAAATGGCATTTTCTCGACATCGCAGGGGGGTGTGAGAAGGTTGTCCGTCAGCGCGGCTATCCGTGACACGCTCGTATGGCGTGGCAGGACTGGCAGTTGTTCTGTAATCGCAGGAAGTGCGAGAGGGTGGTCTCGTAGCGCGGCCTCTATCCGTGACACGCTCGCAGGGCGCGGCAGGAGTGGCATGTTGTCGGCACCACAGGGGCTGGGCAGAGTGTGGTCCCTCAGTGCGGCCTCTATCCGTGATGTGCTCGCAGGGCGTGGCAGGACTGGCACTTTCACGGCACCACAAGAGGGTTGCAGGTGTTGGGGGGCGTTTTCCGTTTCAGGCTTCCAGGGCGTCTCACGCGTATCGCATCTTCGACGCCAGAGTGCTGCGCAAAGGGTGGGGAGGGTCCAGTGTCCGACCTCCGGGACAACCCTTCTCGAGCCTCGAGCTTCTTCCTCGAACCTCCTTCACCGGGGATGGATGGATGGATGGAGGGCGGGAGGGGGAGTGGGAGATGAGGTGGAGGGGAGGAGAGATGCTGAAATGGAAGGGGCGGTATGGGAGGGAGCCGAGGGGGAAAACACGGGAGGAGTGGAGGGGAGAAGAGGGGAGGGGTGTGGAGGAGAGGGGAGGTCTGGGCGAAGAGCGAAAGGATGGAGGGGAGGGGAGACGAAGCCGGGGGAGAGGAGGAGAGGGCACGAGCGGAGAAGCGCCATCTAGAGAAGGGGCCCCGCCCCAGGTCAGCCAGCGTTCCGTGGGCCGCCCTGCCTGGTCAACGGGACCCAGTGCGCAGAACCATCTGCCCCGATCGTGTGGAAGACCGCACTGTTCTGCCAGGGCGAGGAGGGGCTAGCGCCCCCAGAACAAGGGGAGGAGGAGGGGACAAGCTAGGGGCGCTGGCGTCACAGCTGACGACCTAGCACTTCCTCCCATCCCTTGACATGGCGTGGATCTCCTATCTACTCGCCACGTCGGACGTCGAGCAGGGCAATGATCCCAAGGGAGTGCGCGATAAATGGAAAAGCATGGCGTATAAGAGCACGGGAGAGCATAGCATGTCATATCACGGCGGGGCATTGCGTAATGAAGCATTGCATCATAAAGCATAGCAACGCAAAGTATGGCATCGCACAGCGGTGCTCAACACAGCATCGCATCGCATGCTGTGGCCTGGCACTGGATGACTTTGAGGGTAAGTGGCCCGTCTACGCGAGGACAGGGCTTGTCCGGAATACCTGCTCCATGTCCTCCGCAACCGTGCTTGCCCGATGTGGGTGTTTTCGAATGCCAACCAAATGTCGTCCGGAGGCACGGGCGCGAGGCCAGCACCCCAGCGGGAGCACGATTGTGAATGACCGAAGCGCGGAGATGAGGGCGGCGCAGCAGCAAGAGCATTTGGGAAAGGCCAAACATGAACAGATTCAAAAACCTCTGGAACCAAAACACAAATAACGAAATCTTGCGTAAAAGAAACAACACGCAGAAACGACGGGAGATTCTCCAGACATAGTCTGGAGAGTAGTATTCGTATTGTGCAACTGTGGAGGGCGAGGGTAAACAAGAAAGCCTGCACCCAGCAGCCGCTGTTTCTCACCAGTTTCCGCGCCCCGATCTTATTAGTAATCCCGTGACCCAGCGAGGAGGAGGATGGGAGGGGCGGGAGAGAGAGGGGGGCAGAGGTCAGGAGCAAGAGGGAAGGGGGGAATAAAAGGATACCTACGACAGGTGCCTTGCATCGGAGTTTCCATGCCCCGACCCTGCCAAATGACCCGCAATGAAGTGTTACGAGTTCTGCTAGCAGCAACGGTAATATTAGAAAGAACAGTCGTGAAAGGCATCGTTACAGTCGAAGAAATAGCAGCAACAGCAGCAGCAGCAGCAGTAGTAAGAGAAGTAGTCGTAGTAGCCGTAGCAGCCGTACTAATAGTGGTGGTAGGAGAAGTAGTAGTCGTAGAAGTGGTAGTCGTAGTAGTAGCAGTAGTACGAGAAGTAGTACTAATCGTGGTGGTAGTAGTTGTAGTAGTAGTAGTAGTAGTCGTCGTCGTTGTCGTGGTGGTAGTAGTAGTAGTAGTAGTAGTAGTAGTAGTAGCAGTAGTAGTAGTAGTAGTAGTAGCAGTAGTAGTAGTAGTAGTAGTACAGGTAGGAGTAGTATGTGTAGAAGTGGTAGCCGAAGTAGTAGTAGAAGTAGTAGTTGTTGCTGTAGTCATACTAGTAGGTGTGGTACTGGTAGTGGTAGTGGTAGTGGTAGTGGTAGTGGTAGTGGTAGTGGTAGTGGTAGTAGTAGTAGTAGTAGTAGTAGTAGTAGTAGTCGTAGTAGTAGTAGTAGTAGTAGTAGTAGTAGTAGTAGTAGTAGTAGTAGTAGTAGTAGTAGTGGTAGTAGTAGTAGAGTAGTAGTAGTAGTAGTGGTAGTAGTAGTGCAAGCAGTCGTAGTCGTAGTAGTGATCGTGGTGGTGGTGGTGGTCGTAATAGCAGCAGCAGCAGCGGTAAAAGTAGTAGTAGTAGTCGTAGTAAAAGTTGTAGCCGTAGTAGTAGTAGTAGTAGTAGTAGTAGTATTTGAAGCCGTAGTAGTAGTAGTTGTAGTAGTTGTAGTAGTTGTAGTCGTAGTAGTAGTAGTAGTAGTAGTAGCCGTAATGCTAGTAGTAGTAGTAGTAGTAGTAGTTGTTGTTGTTGTAGTAGTAGTAGTAGTAGGAGTGGTATTATTATTAGTAGTAGTAGTAGTAGTAGTAGTAGTAGTCGTAGTAGCCGTAGTAGTAGTAGTAGTAGTAGTAGTAGTAGTAGTAGCAGTTGTGGCGTCAGT